TACTTGATGATATAATTGTAACTAGTAAAAATACAGCCAAACACACTACAGATTTGCCCGAGGTGTTTTTGCTTCTAAATGAAGTTGAAGGCATCAAAATGTAAATTTATGGAAAAGGAACTTTGTTACTTAAGCTATAAGCTATCTCAGAAAGAAATGGAAAGAGGATTCCCAAATAGTTGCAATAAAAAATTACCCGCCACCAAATACAGCAAAAAAGTTGTCCTCATTTTCGGGCTTGTGTTCTTATTATAGGACTTTTATCAAAGATTTTGCCCAGACAGCAAAACTAAAAACTAAAAAGAAAGAAACCCAGATTTACTTGGTCACTAGAAGTAAAGACAGTGAGTGTTCAAAAATCTTAAAACTGCGTTAAGATGAGCTAGTTTTGAAATTTTTTGAAAAAATCTGTTCTTTGAAATCTAAAAATAAAACACCGAATTTTTTTTTAATCTTTATTTTACTGAGTTTTTTATCCCTTTATCTGAATGTCCTTATTAGGTAGGTACTTATATTTTCACTGTTATAGAAAATTTACATAAATATTTATTTTTTAATTTTTTCTGACATTTTACTTTGTAAAACAATGTAAAAAAAATTAAATATTGCAATTCCTACATACATTTTTTTTAAATTCATAAATTTCGTCATTTATTGGAAACGAGCACGGAAAGAGGTACACGCGCGCTGGTTTCACAGTGCGACCACCACCCACAGAACAATGGACATGAGTAGATTTTTTTTAAATTCATATATTATTTGACTCTAGGATCATAATATTCAATTTCTAGGGTTTTTTAGTTAAAAAAATATTTTGGAAATTTCAGGGAGCCAATGGGAGCTTAGAATTTGCAGATGCTTAAAATTAAGAGATTGGCGTCATGCTGATGCAAAAGGGACAGCGGTATTTATTTCAGTAAGACTCTTAACCTAAATCTGAGAAATTATACGGCTACAGAAAAAGACTTATTAGATGGGCTCTTAAACTGGAAGAATATACAATTTACTCATGGTGCAGTGGACACTTATTCTGGATAAAATATATCAAAAAAGACTTATTAGATGGGCTCTTAAATTGTTACAGATTGTGGACAAAACTCGTAATGTATCACTTTTAAATTGAAATCCACGATCACTAATGAGTTTACTTGGCGTTGCAAAACGCCAGTTGCTATAAAAGGCTCTTGCGACATTCTCAGCTGAAATATTTTCTAAAGGAATTGCTTTCATAAAATTCGAAAATCTACGCAAGTAAGACAATAAATACAGTCAAAATTCTTTAATCCGGACTTGTCGGGACTTCGGCAATTCCGGATTATTGGTTTTTCCGGATTATAGATCATCAATTTAAATCTGGTAAGATGGCATGCAGAAATTATAAAATTAAAAGTATGAAACCGTAATTTATGTATTTAAAGAGCAATTATGATCTAAAAAGTATCAAAATTTACCCCCCCCCAAAAAAAAAAGCTTCATATTTATTTGTTAAACATTTCTTTAAACGCGCGCATGCGTAAAGCATACATTACGCATAGTCGAAATTAGAAATTTGCAACCAGAAAACTATTCGATGTGTATTCGTGATATTTATAATGACGAGGAATTTGATTTAAATCATATCAAAGAGAGTACATCGAGATGAAATACTACATTTAGTAAGGAATTATAAGCCGAATAAAATAAGAACATCTGCCCTGAAGATAAGGATAGTGCTGACAGATCAACTTCCAGTTCATTGCGCACTGCTTCGTCCCCCCCCACACACAGCAGTGTGAAATTGATACAGATTTCGGAATGGTTAGAGAAACAAATCACCTCCCTGTCACTTTATCCATTTTTTGCAGCAATTCCACTTTTTGTTTGATGGACATCGAAACATGCTTTCGCTTTGTAGATGCTTTGGTAGCACCAGAATTGGAAATTCTTTTTGACATAATCGAAAGTTCAAGCTTACTTTTATAAAATTACTCTAACAGTCTGCAAAAAATAATAGGCCGGATCCAATTAGAAGATTAAGGAACAACGCAATTTGCAACATTAACTGAAATAGATAATTAGATAATTTTAGCTTATACTGTCCGTTATACATTAAACGCACATGCGTAAACGTATTATGCACATGCGTAAAGGTATTATGCACATGTGCTAACGCATTATGCGTAGACGCATGCGCAGAAAGTTTGTACCTTTGAGGTCCGGATTATAGATCATTCCGGATTAAAGACTTTTGACTGTATATGTTTGCACACTTGCAAAAGTTACATTTCTGATGGTCAATCAAATGTTCAAGTGCAAGCTAGCAAAGCTAAAATAAGAGCTAGCAATACCCATGTAATCAAAAATTAGGCTCTCAAACCAACATTAAAGTTTAATGAGAATTTTTAAGGTTAGCACAGGAATCGTTTTGAATTTAAGGTCTAGTGTATATAAGTTATTAAGATGTAGGATTTTATCCAAATGGTAGTCTTAAAATACTTCTATAACAACATACATTCTCCATCTTATAGTACACTTTGATGCAGACCAGACGGGGTGAAAAATTCACTGTAAACTGGAAAGTGTATAAAAAGATTCTGACAGAATTGAATTGAAAACGAAAGTTATGTAAAATGCATTACATGTTTTGCTATAGTATTTTTCCTCCCAGATGATTGCAAGGGCAGCAGATGGTGATAAAAATTTAAGAGTATTATGAAGAATTGTTTTGTGGAGACTCATCTGTAATGTAATTAGTTTTCAGCTTAGATGTAAGCTTCCTTGCTTGTAAAAAGTTGGCTCTTGTTTATTTAAAATTTAAGATCTTACCGAGATCATGAAAGAACCATTGCAATTACTCAAATTCTGGTGGGGGAAAGACAGAATTTTACTTTGTGTTAATTAACCAGGCATTTTATGTTTTGGATCTGAACTGTCACTTCTCAAACCAGAATGCAAATTTACTTTGCATGTACTCATAGAGAGGTTTTTAGATTGTCAGAAAGAGCATTATCTACCTCTCAAGGCCATGTTATTAGGCTGCTATATAAGATGTGATTACCAATCTTCGGCCTTCCACTATAACTCCTGATAGTTGATATTCACACTGGTTAAATTTCGAGCCAACTTTGCATTGACTGATTTGTGAAGCCTTTGGCTACTAGTTTATTTGAATTTAAATTTTACATTTGAACTTAATGTACTTAGTTTTAGTTACAGTTTATGATTGACAAGACAATATCTAAACTTCAAAATTTTTTTATTTTAATTTTAATGGCATTCTTTAAGATTATCTGAATCTCAGTTATTTCATAGATGTTACCATTCTCAACTGATCCTTCAGATAATACCGATCATTTATTTTATGTGTGTTTCGATTCAGATAATGTAGGAAAATGTAGATTTACACAATAAGTGGTTGAAAAGTAAAACGGCACATCTTTGTGTTTGTATGCGCAGGCATGTGTGCGTGTGTATTTAACCCTCTGAGCGTTATGGGTTTAGCCCTGAAATTTCAAAGTTCCTCAAAATGTCATGAATAAGTGACATTTTCTTGATTTTAATTAAAAAATGACTCTTTCATTTTGTACCTTGATTCCTTTTCTTCCAATATACATCTAAACTGAAATCAGATACATTAAAAACTAGCAGAAATTTTCATGTATAATGAATGTGGAAGGCAACCTTCTGTACGGAATTTTCCGGCCGTAACGCTGAGAGGGTTAAACTAAGGGCACAGATATTTTGCTGTATTTTGTAACATTAAAATTTCATTTTTCTCAGCAATACATAACTTACATGATCATCTCTTAAGAGCTCTATTCCATTAATATTTTTTATGAGCCTTGAAATCACCAATTAGACAAAGTTCAAATGCTTATTAATGAATATTCTATAAAAGATTCACATTAATACACATGTTTATCAATGTTTATCTGAAACTCCCTCCTGCAGAAGAGTTTCAAGACAATAGCCGCTTCCTTTCAGAGATTAATTCTGAAATGGTGCAGTTTAAAAAAAAATTATTATATGCATGTTACTGTTTTTATGACAAGAAGGTGAATATAAATTCGTTATATGTAGGATTTTATTTTCTATATTCTTTACCTTACACTCTCTCTCTCTCTCTCTCTCTCTCACACACACACACACACATATATATATATAATTTATTTTATAGTAAATTATTGAATAAATTATCTCTTTTGAAAAAAGTAGTTAGAATTCTATTGAATTTACTCATTAGCACATTTAAATTTATTAAAATGGAACAATCAAAAGCAAAAATGCAACAAACAAATTAATTATAATCACTGATCAGAAATTAGTTTTTTTCAAGGGGAACAAACTAACTTCTGATAAATTAATAATAATTAATTGATGCAAAAGCGTTTTATCTTTTTCTCAAGAATCAGGACTAAAAAGCTCTTTAGTAAGACAGAGTTAAAATTATTCAAATTGCTAATTAAAAATCAGTAAGAAATTGGCAGTTCTCTAAAATTGATTTTTAATAAGCAATTTGAATAATTTTAACTCAATCTTACTAAAAAGCTTTTTCAGTCTTTATTATTTGATTACTTTGCAGCTTTAGTGCAAGTATTAAGGCAATTTGTTACTAATAACTACATTGTTTATTTATATATACATAAGGAAAAGAGTGACAAAATTTGTAGAAAACATACCTGAAATTAAAAATATTAGGGAATAATAAAAACAACTTCAAAACGGATTTCTTAAACAATATGCACTAAAAGAACTGCACAATGTCAAATGACAAGACAATGTTTTGGAAGGGGATGCTTGAACATCAACAATAATCTAAAACTGACTTATCATGTAGAAATTCATAAATTAAGTACTCAGCTAGCAAAATATAGCGTTATTTTCTAAGGAGAACTATACAAATCATAATTTTTCAGTCTAGATCATTTACTAACGGAAACAGAATGTTGAAGAACTCTTGAATGCAAAAGATAAATGCTAGGAATTCTTTTTTTATTATGAATATTTTACGAGAATGGTACCTTTTTTATCAGGAATATAAATGTCCTGATCATCTTCAAGAGCTGATTCATCAACAGATGTCGATGATGGAATCACACTATTCTGACCTATATTAAAGTAATTTAAATAAAAAAAATCAGTGGAAGATCAGCTACAGAGTAATAGAAATTCAGCAAAAATTAAAACAAAAATACAAATTTAGCAAAAATTAAAACAACTCTAAAACACTGTTCTTTGCAGCTATATATGATATTCATATTCCAAAAACATAATAATAAAAATTCTGAATAAGATTAAACTTTTGAAGTTTAAAAATGCAGATAACCTTCTATAAATTAAATAAAATGATTAAAAAAATTTCACACATCTAAAATTATTAAATAAAAATACATGGTTTACAATCTGTAGATTGCTAATGAAAGAAATACGATCATAAATATAAATCACAACCTCTACACAAATTCGGAACAAGAAATTTGAGATACTCCTTACTTAAAATCTAGCACGCTTGATTACTCAAAAACTGTGAACTTCTGTTAAGAGCAATCTGGAACACAATACGCTGAGTGGGTAAGTTCAGTAAAAAGGACAATATTGAAGCCAGTTTTTAATTGTAACTAACAAAAATTCCAACTTAATATACATGTCACTTACTTATTAGCAATAATCTTAGTCTACCATATTCTTGAAATTGAAAATCAAGAGGAAAAGTCAATTTGAGACATTGCAACTAAAAATTCATTATTTAGCAAAAATTTCAGGTGGTTTTGTTCACTTTATTAACACAACAAAGGGATTATAAATTACTAAAATACAAATTCAGAAAAGAAATGTTAATTCTTGATGCACATATGAGGTACTTACAACATATTCACATGAAAAAACAAAAATGAAATAACTTCAAAAACTATTAAAATGACATAGTTTACTTGTACAGTCAAAAGTCGTTAATCCAGACTCGTCGGGACTTCGGCGATTCCGGATTATCGATTTTTCCGGATTATAGATCATCAGTTTAAATCTGGTAAGATGGCATGCAAAAATTACAAAATTAAAAATATGAAACCGTAATTTATGAAATAAAGAACAATTATGATCTAAAGGGTATCAAAATTACAAAAGAAAAAACTTAATATTTATTTGTTTACTTTATTAAACATTTCCTTCAATGTAAGTTTTCAATGTTTCATGTGATAATACTTTCTCTTTAATTCCATTAAACAGACATAATTTCTTGTTTAGTTACAAAGTTCCGCTGTTCAAGTCCTATAATTGCTGTGTTGAGAATACCGACTAATTTGTCAATCGAAATGTTTTCGTTTCAATAACCTCTGGGTCACTTTCTTCACTATCGGAAGCGAATTATAATGACGAGGAACTTGATTTAATCATATCAAAGACGGAGTACATCGAGATGAAATACTAAACTTAGTACGGAATTATAATCCAATAAAATAAAAACATCTGCCTCTGAAGATAAGGATAGTGTTGACAGATTCAACTTCCAATCCGCGGCGTGAAAATTGATAAACAGATTTCGGATTTCAAAACATACTTTTGCTTTGTAGATACAAATTACATATTAGTAAATATATTGGAAATTCTATTTGACATAATCTTTCTAATCTATCATAATCTAATAATGACGTTTCTCCCCCCCCCCTCTGCCGCAGAGCAGCGTGAAATTGATAAACAGATTTCGGATTTCAAAACATACTTTCGCTTTTGTAGTAAATATATATTGGAAATTCTATTTGACATAATCGAAAGTTCAAGCTTACTTTTATAAACTGCTCTAACAGTCTGCAAAAAATAATAAGCCGGATCCAATTCGAAGATTAAGGAACAACGCAATCTGCAACATTAACTGAATTAGATAACTTTAGCTTAGCGTAGAACTCCGTTACACATTAAACGCGCATGCGCACAAACATATTCGCAGCTGTAAGGGTCTTACGCGCTCTCGTAAACGCCTGTGCGCATGCGTGAACGCGACGCATGCGCAGAAAGTTTGTAGCTTTGAGGTCCGGATTATAGATCATTCCGGATTATGGGTGTCCGAATTAACAACTTTTGACTGTATATAACTACATTAAAAACTACATTATCGATACAATAGATTTAAGAAATTAATGGTATAAGAACATAATATTTGTCACTTTAAGGATTATAAAACATAGAACCACTCTACATTTTATTACTAGTGTGGGTGTTAATTCTGCCATTATATTAACAATTTGCTTCAACTCAATTGCCTTAAGTCAATTTTAAACAATTACTTTTTTGAATGAATTCCCTTTCTCTTCTGGCCTTCTACAAACTAAGAATAAATACAATGAATGATGTCATAAATACAGTATTTTACAAAAATTAGGGTACATTAATTATATCCCTTTCAAAATGCTCCCCTTTTGTAGCAATACACTTGTCCCACGTTTATGTCCATTGTTGAAAACATCCGTGGAAGTCTTCAGAAATCAAGCTGTTCAGGTACCTTGTCCTTTCACGTTTTATCCTCTCCACATTGTTCCAGTGTCACCTCTGCATGAGCATTTTGCATTTCAGAAACAAGAAGAAATCACAGGGAGCTAAGTCTAGTGAGTAGGGAGGGTGATCTAGGTTTGTAATCCAATTACAGGTCAGAAACACAGACAATCACTGATAAATGTGCAGCGGTGTTGTCATGATGTAGCAGTCATTCATGACCACAACAATAATTTGGTCGCACTTGACGCATACAATCCGTTAAGCGCTTTAAAGCTTCCACATAGAAGGTACTATTAACTGTTTGTCAAGGAGGATGAAATTCATGCTGGACAACATCATAAATGCCCCCCTCCCAAAAAATTGATCGGCTTTTTCGACCTTTTTTCATTCAAGGTTCATCTTTTGCTTTCCATTCCTTGCCCTGTGATTTCAGCTCGATGTTATACTGACACAACCATGATTCATCACCAGTGATGGTCCTTTTAAGGAAACCGGAAGTCTGGGTGAAGTTTTTCCAGTCGGTACAGCATTTGGTCCTTCTCAGCTTTTGGTTGGACGTTAGCAACTTTGGGACAATTTTCTCAACTCCAAACGTTCTCTTAAAATCGTCTGCACAGCTGATTTTTTACTTGATAAGCGATCATCCAGACAGTTAAACAACGATCAGAAAGCACAAGAGACCGCATACATTCAATGTTGCCTTCAACAAAGGATATCAATGGTTGCCCTGGCCTTGCCTCTTCTTTGAAGTCTTCATGGCCCTCAATGAATCGTTTGATCTACTTCAAATAAGCAGTTTCTTTCACTACATTATTTCCATAAACAGCCCTCAAGTTTTTATAAACTTCCTGAGAGCTTTATCCAAGTTTCAACAAAAATTTGATGTTGATTCACTGTTCCATCTATTCACTGATATCCATCATTAACAAGAACAAGAAACAGACACCACAAAAAAATTCCACCTCTAGCTGTACACTCCCTTCAACTGTCTGGCAGTTATTGCCGCTCAAATGGGTTCTCTGCTAACAGAGCAGCAAGTGTGTATGTCATAACTTCAACTCATGGTCACCATAATAGCTCAGTTTGCATATTCATTGGACAGATATACATTAAAAACATATACTTTATGAGAAAAATGATAAATGTTTTAGTGTTAAAAATTATTATCAGTAAAATTAGTCAATTTGTATACATGCTTAATTTGGTATAGTCTGACCGCTTCATCCGTGACAATGAGCGCAAACTCGCATGCACCATTCGGACCGAATTATTCTCAAAATAGAGTGGAAGGATGGAGACTTTCTTTCCCTCCAGCATAGCTCTTTCTGGAGAAGAGAAGACCTTTCACATCGCAGCAAGTAATACTGCCCCTTTTGGAAGAGTCTGTGTTTTGGCAGAATGCCAACCAGGGTTGTGCTTGAGACGATTGAACTATACAGCAATGTAGAATTTGAGATACACAATTAGAGTTCTTCGATTACAATATTAAATTCTACGAAGATGATAGACAAAAGGCAGGGCAATTTCTTATAACTTCCAATGCCAGAAAGTAATAAATTAAAAGCATGTAGAAACTACTTGACTTTAAGATGACAACACACTTCAATTCATCCAATTCTCATTGTGCCATCATGTTAAACCTGTTTCATAATATTTGGTTCATATCAAGTATTAATAGCCTGCATTTTGTATTAATCTCATTAGAGATCACTTAATTTTCATAGAAAACTGTCATAGAAATACTGAATTTTATGGATTCAATCAGGTTTCTGAATGAAATATGTGATTAACCCTTTGTCGCATACAAATAATCTAGAGAAGTTAAATGAAAATGTTTGTATTTTTTCTACTTAAAATTACCTTATAATAATTTTAAAAAATTAATTTTTTTTCAAATTTCGTTTCAAATAATTGCTACAGTTTATAGTCCATACAGTGGACGCAGCACATACGTACTGCATACAAATCTCTTCCACGATTTATGGTCATTGCAATTTGAA